TTGTTGATCAGTGACAAGGTCTGGCGTGTCTGTAGGGAGTGAGGTGGTTGTCCAAAGCAATGTCAATTTCTATAAATCAGAGAAGAAACCATCTATAGAGATTTTCTCCCTCATTGGTCTCAGAACCAAGTTCTTAAGGTAGGCTACTCGTGCTGTTTCTATTATCGATGGAGTGTGTGACTTACTTGCTCAAGGTCACACAAAAAAATAATACCGCACAAGGTCTCACAGCAAACAGTGACAGAAGTGTCTGTCTGAATTTCCCAAGACTAATGTTGCTCTCATCTCCTCTCTCTCATCCTATCCTCTTCTCATCTCTCTCTTTGAGACAGAGTCCACTCTTGTTGCCCAGGCTAGAGTGCCGTGCACAGCCTAAGCCTCACAGCAACTCAAACGTCCTGGGCCGAAGATGCGTCCCGCTTCAGGCTTTTCGTAGCTGGGACTACAGGCATGTGCTGCCATGCCTGGCTTAATTTTTATTCTACATATTTTTATTGCCATTAATTTCTAATTTTAGTAGAGACAGGTCTCGTCTTCTCAGGCTGGTTTCGACTTCCAGACCTTGACACTGCCCCTTGGCTCAGAGTACTAGGATTATAGGCTGGGCCACTCGTGCCTGGCTCTCTCTTTTTTATGGTACCGAGAAACCAGAGAAAGAGGGCAGGCCCACACACACACACACACCAATGTCTGAGAAAGAAAAGAACAGGAAGTAGAGATAAAGTTCTGCTGAGAAAAAGAAAATATGGAGGACTGTCAATTTAGTTGAAGTGTCTTGACTAAATATAATAATGAAAAAAATGGCTCTTTGTTCTCCATGGAGCTTATGGAATGAGGGGACAAAAGATATATAGGACTGCTACCAGTCTCTTCTTATAAGGTTGTAGACTTTCAGAGTGATGTGCTCTTGGTTGTCCTGGAAATGCTGCAGAGAAGATAGGCTTGAATATCACGCAAAGGAGAGGGGTGTCCGTGGATAGCCAGGAAGAGCTACCCATGGTACTTTCCCAGTGAGGGGAGTAGTCTGAGCAGAGCGAAGGTGGGGAACTTTCCGTTCAGTGACTAAGATTGGCTAGATAATGCAACTTCATACAGGGGAAGGAGGAGACGAGCCGGTAAGGGTCCCGGAGAGCGGAGGAGCCGCTAACACCTTGCGTTGTGGGCCATGAGAACTGCTGACTAGTCTTTAAACAGGAGAAGGGATGCAACCAAGATGCCGGTAAAAGACCCTTTCCAGGAGGCAGGCAGATGGAAAGATCGCAGAGGGGGAGGCAGAGGCGAGGACTGGGAAAGAGGATGCTGCGATAGTTAGGGAGATGATTGGTGGTACAGCCAAGAGCAGATGGAGAGCCATCTCCTGAATCAAAGCTGGCCTAAGGGCTGTCAAGCCACTGATTCTAAGAACCATGAAGTATTTAATTCACAACTATCCCCAATCCATCTTCTTTCCCTCTTCTTCTGCTCTCTCCTTGTTTTTCCTCTTTCCTCCTTTTCGTTTCTGTCCCCATCCAACTCCAGTAAGCTCTTAATAGCCATGATTGAACATCGTGTGAAAGGTGGGGAAGCACTAACCAAAATCAGCAGGAATGAAAGAAGAGGCGCCAAAAATAGAAGGAGGAAGAAGAGAAGGAAGGAAGGAAAGAAGAAGGAGCGACATTTTTCTATATGAAGGCCATTTTCGTGGACCAGGCTGGAAGATGGGGATACTAACGCTCAGAGGATTAAAGTGCTTGTCAAGTCACCAAGCATAATTGTCCATCCAAGTTCTATGAACTTCCAGAACCACGTCCTTGTTTGCATTGTTTCTCTTTCCGTCTCCTCATGATCCCCTCAACTTGGCGTAATATTTTATTCTCCAGCCAAATCACTTCATCATGGCTCTTTCTTTCACTTATACACTGTCTTTACATTCTTATGATTTGTGGATGTGGTCCAGCACTGCTACATAAAATGTGCACAATATGCGAATGAACTGATTATTTTCTTCCTATTGCTAGATAGTAAGAAGCCATAATTAAATTGTATTCTAACAAGGCCAAGGTCTTAATACTTACTGATTATTCTATAACTGTTAGTTGAACAGATTGGAATGTTAGCACCTCTGTGGGCATCACACCATATTAGATGCTGTCCTACTTTGGTAACCTCCAAGCCCGTTGTGTCATAATTCTAGCACAATCACTATAAAGCAGAAAAAGATGTATAACACCTTAAATAGTAGAGAAGACAAATGGAATGTAAAGACAATCACCATAAAAAGAAGTCAAGACAAAATGGCAAAAGCATGTAAAATGCTCAAATCAGTATCTCAGGGAAATGCAAATCAAAACCACGAGATAATCTCCACACCCAGTAGGATGGCTGTTATTTAAAAGAACAAAACAAAAATAAGAAGCCAGTGGTGAGGATGTGAGAAACTGGAACTGGCGCTCTGTTAGGATGGGAAACAAGAGTGGCAGTTCTCAAAAAACTAAAAAACAGAACTGTATGACCAGAAATTCCACTTCTGGCATATTCCAAAAGAATTGAAAGCAGACTCTCAAGGAGATGTTTGAACTTATATCATAGCAGCATTATCACAGCAGCTAAGAGGTGAAAACGAAACTAAGTGTCCATGGACAGATGAATCGGATAAACAACAGGTGACAATATCCATACAGAGAACATTATATTCAGCCTTAAAAAACAAGATCCTGCACATACTGCCACATGGGTGAGCTTTAAAGACATACGCTAGTGGAATAAGCCAGTCGCCCAACAATGAGTAAAACACGTAGAATCATAATTCCAGGTATATTGAGGTGCTGAGAATAGCAATTCATTAGAGGCCAGAAAGATGGAGGGGGGGCCTGCACGCTGGAAGGAGGGAGACATTACGGAGTTACCTTTTAATGATCAAGCTTCAGTTTGGACGAAGGGTGCCAAAATTCTCGAAGATGGTTTGGGTGATCGCCTCGATGAATGTATTAATGCACGCACTGTACACTTAAAAATGGTTAAAATGGTAAATTGTATGGTTTCTGTGCTGTTTACACAATAAAAAAATAACTTTAAAATTGAAGGCCGGGTGTGGTGGCTCATGCCCTGTCCGACTCCCTGGCGGAGGCGAGCGAGGATCGCTTGGAGCACAGGAATTGGAGGTTGCCTGGTTGTGAGCTGGGCTGACACCACAGCACTCTATGCCCGGCGCCATGGCAGGGGGGAGTGAGCACTCTGTCTCCAAAAAAAAAAAAATGAAGGTGAAAAAAATTCACATTTATTCTGACGTGCTTTCACTAAAGACACGTCGGTGCCATCGTGTGTCCCTAACATCCTCACTCCACTCCTCCAGCTCTTCCAGGAGGACTGGAAGCTGGTGAGATTTGGGAGCAGGGGAGGCATTACCAGGAGGCTAACCCTCCCCATCTCAGTCCCTTCTTTCTAGTTATGTGACATGCTCTCTACCCTACCCCCAACCAGAGGCAGTGTCCTTAGAGAGGGGAGAAGTAGTAGAGGGAAAAAGTACTTGAGAAAGAATCATTTTCTGGTAGAAAAAGGAGAACACTTTAATGAGTGAAACTGCCCCAGTAGAGCCAGAACAATCTGGGCACTTGTGTCCAAATATAATACCAAGCCTTCTGGGGTGGGAAAGACCCCTCACCTAAATCCAGTCACGCGGCTCTTCCTCTCTTGACCTCTTTTCCCTACTCTCTTTGCCCACTCTTTCTGGGATCCAGACTTGAAATGCTGGCTGCCACCCTGATCCCAAGTCTCTTAGGACATTCCTGTGTCCCTCACTTTCCTAGCTGAGGGCTGGAACTTATCAAAGGGGTCTTTCTGAAGAAGTTAAGGGAAATGCAAGGGAGAACAAAAAGAAACTATGAAAGACTGCAAACAAATAAGTTTATCACTTGATATAGCTAAAGTCAAGCCATTAATGGGCTCAGCACGATTTGATTTGTATAACGTTCAATAAGTCTACATCTTTTGGGGTCTGTGGACCCCTGTGGCAGTCCAGTAAAGCCTATGGACCCCTTCTCTGAACATTATTTTTAAATGCACAAAATTAAATACACAGACTTACAAAGAAAACCCATTATATTAAAACACAGTGATCAAAACATTGAAACGTGACACAAGAACATATGCACTTCTTGATTGATTCATTGAATAACCAGATCTAATGGCCGTTCCAATAACCACTGGGTTTTGAAGTAGTCAAGAGCATAAATGAAACTTTGAGATGCCTGCAACAACTGTCACATGAAACCCACATCTCTGTGCTTTCTGTTACTGACAGAGTCACAGGTACCGCCAACGCCTTTGTGGTTTGTTGCCTGCGTTCATCATTTCAGTTCAAGTTTGTGAAAATAAACAGGTGAATTTTTTTCCATCTCAAAATCCAACCCCAGTCTGAATTCTTGGTCTGTAGGACCCAGGTCAAGAGCCTCTGTTCTAAAGGGCACATAGCCTGCCATGGGTTGGAACCGGCTGCCTCCTGCCTCTGTCCTCCTTCAGGAGGACATTATTCCCCGCATCCAGCCTCCCAGCTTGCCCCGTCACTGCGTGCCCACAGAGCCCTGGTTTCTGCTGAGAAAAGCCTGGGCTGCCAGCCCATTTGCCTAGCACTGGTGGCTGCTGTGCCCTGAGTCCACTGAAAAGCAACTGGCTCTCTCTCAAAACTCTAATAAGTCACTCAGGCAGCCCTCAGATTTTCCAGAATTTTCTCGTCATAATCTTAGACTAGAAAGTCACCTTCCACTTCCCTAGTAACATCAATTCTGCAAGCCACCATCACCTCTGCCCTGTCCCTGAATATGGCTATTTTCAGCTAGTTTATGGGGGACAGCCTCTGAGAAGGCAGGAGTGATCTTTAAACAGAAACAGCCACAGCCTCACTCCTTCCCAGAGAGGGGAGAACGATCAGAGGGTCTCTTCAGAGCCCTCCTCCCCATCTGGAAATGCCTGGCCTCTTTCTTGGTCTGTCCCTATGTGCTCTCCAGCACGTGGGGCTCACTCACCTCCAATCAGGAGGTACGGCATCCACGGCACAACAGTGTAGATTCGGAGGCCCTCCTGAACATCTTCTCGGGAGAAGGCCATGGGAATGGTGATCTTCTGTTGTGGCAACAAGCCCAACCAGAGGCTCAAATCTCTTAAGCTGAGTTGATTATAGATGCTTTGCTATAATGTCTTGTCACTGAGTCCCATTAGCTGCTGTGGTTTTGTCGGGTTTGACCAAACCTTTCCTCCACTTTTTCTTACTCACTGCCCCGCCCCAACTTCCTACACACCTCAGTTGCAAATCAGATCATCTAATCTCCCCAATATGTGCCCTTTCTCCATGTGCAACCAATTGCAATCTTGCAGAAATGGCCTTGGGGTGGCTCCAGCTTTGGTGGGGCAGGGGTTCCTGATAAATTAATTCAGGAAAAGAGAATAGCTTAGGCCTCAAATGGGACCCTTGGGAAACACCCACTACCTTTCTCTGCTCAAGAAAAGGAACCTGGCAGGAACTTTGTTTCTGCCCCAGTGGTTACTCTTTGTCTTCTCTTGTCTTCTGCTGAGAGCCACCTAGCCCACTAGGGCTGTTTTTCTGCATGGATATCTAGACTTCTCAGATGTCTCTTTGTGCCTCTAGTCCCAGGGGCTCTGTATCGGTGGCCAGACACCCTATGGTCGAGTGGGAGAAGCACTGCACAGAGAACAGACTTGGCTCCCAGTCCTAGCCCCACCAGGCTCTTCCCACGTCTCTTTGGAAATCACTCCATCTCTTCAGAGCTCCATTTGAGCCTCCATTGCCGGAAGGCAGTGCAGTGGTTAGGGGCGTGACTTTGGAGCCAGATAGCTGGGGTTCACATCTCAGCTCTGTCACTTACAAATTGGGGAACCTCTATGCCTTGGCTTCCCCATCTGTAAAATGGGGACAGTAATAGCACCAACTCCATAAAGATGTTCCAAGGATTAAATTAGTGAATGAAAGGAAAGTGCTTAGCACAGGGCTTGGCACACAGCAGGCCCTATTTCCTGTCATTACTATTCATTTATTCTAATTAGTGTCTTTTTTTTTCCTTAACACTGCTTGGCCACATTGTCCAATTAGTGTCTATTGAACATCTACTATGTTTCAGGCTAAGATTTGCTTCTTTACATCAGCCTTTGCAAAATGAAAGATTGCCCCTAGGTCCCAGACCTCTGGATTTGTTTTCTTCTGTCATTATCTATTGAGTGACTGCTGTTTGCCAGGCACTGTCATTAGGTGCTGAGGATTCAGTGGGGAAGAAGACAGACATGATTCCTGCTTTCTTCAACTTTTAGTCTAGTGGAGGAGACAGACATTAAAACAAAAAATAAATCACAAAAATGTTTGTACGCTTGAATTTGTGATGTGTCATACGGGAAAGGCTAATATTCCCAGCATAAGGCCTTGAATGTAGGTAGAAGGTACTCAAAAAGATCTGCCGAATGTAACTGAAGGGGTTACTGGGAAAATCAAATATAAAAATGGTACCGAGTATCCTATAAATGCAAGCGAACATGGGTCCCTTTTCCAAGGAGATCAGCAGAGCTCTGTCGTCTCCCCAGTGCCCACTCTGCTCTGGGCCTCCCTCATTAGACTGACTAATGTGACTCTTCAGAGTTGAGGTCAGGGAACATTTGTGGGATGTCAGGGTGTGCTTTCAATTCCCCCATGTATCCTAGATGGCCACCTGACGTGGCACCTTTTCTCCTCTTCCTCTTCTTCGTCTCCCCACAGAGTGAGTTGGGACTGCCGGGCTGCACAGAGGGCAAGATGGACTGGAGCATGCCTGCTCTGAACTTGCAGGGGAAAAGGGAGAGAGGGAGGCGAGGCAGGCCTGGCTCTTCTGTGGGAAAGCACAGATGCAAAGGGGCCTTGAGTACCCAAGACAGATGAGACCCACAGTGTTGAGAGCTCCAAGGCCCCTTATGGAGCAGGTCTCTGCTCGCCTCCACTTTCAAACGGGTCAATGGAGGAGATCTAGGACGTTTTCTATCTCTGTATCCCTAATATCTGGCTCAGGGCCTGGTGCAGAGTGGGCACCCAAGTAAGTGTTTGTGCGACCAGCGAGGGGGCCACGTCTCCCAGTGCTTTAAGCAAGATGGATTTGCAAGGCTGGGCCCAAACCTGGACTGGCCACCCCTTCCTCCACAAAACCCAGAGCGTGCTGGCTGAGCCAGAGCTCTTTTACATCAGATGGGCAAGTGTAACATAAACACTAGGGGACATAGAAAGAGCCAGTACTCATGATTTCCCAATTACAATTCAACTAAGCAACAAGGCAAAGCTTGGCTGCCTCACAGTAAGCAATAACAGAGGAAAGGTTGCCAACAAGGACGAAAGGCCTGCCAATTTCATTTGCAAATCTTTACGGGTCACATGATTCCCACCTGCAAGACACTTACAGTCCAGTGTGGGAAGGAGATGTAGGACAGATACCTACATGGGGTGCTCTGGGGTGCACAGAAGCGAGAAGCACCTGCCGCCCCGGGGAGGGGAAGGCAGGCTGCGTGGGAGAGGGCGCCGCAGTGAGGAGAAAAAGACTGGGTGAAAGGGGCCTGGGGGGGCGGGCCAAGAAAGACTGCGGGGAGCTCACCAGGCCAGGGGCAATGACCTTCTAGGGTAAGCTGGACCCATGGGAAACTTGGAAGGAGCAATAGAAAAACAAAGAAAGGAGAAAAGTGGAAGGAAACAAAGATCAAGGAAAGGGTGGTGGAAGCGAGGGTAGCTCTGAGAAAGAAGCAGACCCAGGATTCTTGTTCTTAGATTCAAAGGTTCACCCAGAGAGCTTTGGATAACTGAGGTTTTGATATAATTTGTTTCTTCTGATCTTCTCCCTCTGTCGTACTCTTACATGTCTGGGTATTGCAATTTCAGCTCAGTTAGGAACATTAACAGAGAACCTATTCGACGCCAAGCGCCAGGCTAGGCACTATAGAAGGGACAAACATAATCCCCTCATCACTGAATCTTCACTGAGGCCCTCATTACTGTAAGTCTGGGATTGTTCTAGGTCTACAGCTGTGCGTGTGTCGGGCCGGGGTGGGCAGGGAGTGAAAGCAATGTGTACATCATCCATCCGTATAGGGAGTGGGGCCATCATGCTGAGAATTACAGAGGAGACGGAGGGGAGGGCCAGTATTAACAGCTCTGTGACCTTGGATGCGACACTTCCCCTCCTCGACTCTCAGTTTCCTCATCTGGTAAAGGGCTTAATCATATTCATCTGCCACGAGATTTAGCTCCCCTCGCAGCGTCTGCCACCCAGGAGCTGTTCAGTGGCGCTGGGATCGGGCTGCGGGGAGGCGGTATTTGCCACGGGCTCCCACAGGCTGAGCAGTGGCAATGCAGCATTCCCTGTGGTGGCCCAGGATACGCGACAGTCCGGAGGTTTGCTTCGGCACTGGGGACAGTTCAATGTGATGAGAGCCTGAGGTTCGTGGAGGGGAGTAGAAGAGAAGGCTGGAAAGCGGTGAGTGGGGATGTTTTCCTCACAAATCTTTGTGTGTCTGGAGATGAGACAGTCTAGAGTCTAGTGAAAGTAGGCCCAGGCCTGGTGGTTGGAAGAGGGGCCCGTCAAGGTAGGGCAGAACGAGGGACTGTCAAAATCTCCTGGAAGCATTAGTGACTGATCACTTCTCATGGCAGGCAAGGCCCCGGGGGAACAGTGGCCCCAGGACCTCGGTTCAGGCTAGTGTGGCCAACTAGTTGACTGGGATGCTGGACTTTGAGAAATAAAACTGGGATGGCCTTGGGCAAACTGGAACAGCTGGTCCCCCTAGTTCAGGCCCTTGTCACTGTCTCTGGACGACAGCACTTTGCTGCCTGCTGCAGTAGGAGGGGCTGCTGTGAAAGCAGCTCTTCCCATCTCTCTGTCCTGTTTCAAAGCCCACAAAGGCTCCCATTGTCTCTGGGATCAAATTCAGACTCCAGAGCCTGGATTCCGAGCCCTTTCTACACGGGTTTCTGCCCTCTTTGAAAGTGTTATTTCTCATCACTTTCACGCTACACCGGGATGCAGCCTTGCTGTCTAAACAAGAAGCGTCCTTTCCTATTCTGGCCCTCGGCCCCTGGCTGTTTCCTATCAGCCTGACTGACTCCTACCCACCCTTCAACGTTCATTGAAAATGTCATTCCCTAAGACTCTCTCTGTACCCTGCTTTCTTCTCTAGGTTCCCAATATTTTTGGGAGAACACATATCCAGGAATTAAGTTGGGAGTGTAGACCCCACCTCTGCAGCCAGCTTTTAGTGCAATGCTTGGTGTACAGCAGGCTTCTGGCACATATTAATATATTTCAAATAGCCAATATATTCACATGATTCAGAATTCAAAAGGAACTGTAGGGTATTCAGTGAAAAGTGTCCTTCCCACTCCTGGCCTTTAACAGCCCAATACTCCTCCGCCTCCAGAAATATTTTATGATGCACAAGCAAATAAGGTAATTTACTTTGTTAGATGAATAAAGAAACAAGCAGTAAAAACCTGGAAACAATCCAAATGTTCCAGATCTGGGGCTGGCTAAGTAAGCGATTATCTAGCAACATTACACACTAATCTGCAGTCATTAAAAGTCATTAAAATCATTTTAAGGCTGAATCTGTAGTATTATATGCTAAGCTGTAAAAACAGAATATAAAGCAGACCTCCACACTGAATGCACTTGGTAAAAAATTGGTCTTTTCAGCAGTAGACTGAAATGATCTATCAGTCTGAGTGAGAAATCATTGCCGTTTTAAGGTGAAGGGGTTCAGAGTTTTCTTTTATGTGAAGTTGTTTGAATATGAAAAGAAAGTGGCTGGATTGTTGTGAATCTGCCTGATGAAGTGTGATTCACGCTGGGACTCATTCATTCAGGGATTCATTCAGCACACATTTGAATGCTTGCTTTGTCAAGAGGAAAAGCCAGAAACAATGCCGAGCTGCTCAGGATGAGCACTGTGTAGGTGATGGGTACAGAAGACGCTCTGATGCAGGGAGAAGGGGTGGGGAATGCAATGAGTTCATTTTAAGACTGGTGAATTTGAGTTCCGTTTGTTCATCAGACGAGCTGTGTAGCAGATGATATAGGATATAGGTCTGGAGCTCAGGGAAGGGTCAGGGCTCATGACAGCCATCGTTATATATGTGGTCAGGGAAGCTGGAGTTGAGTGGAGCTTACCCAGGGAGAAGACAGACAAGGAAAGGGGAAGACAGATTAAATAAAGCTAGCGAGAAAGTCTTTCTGCAAATCTCTCAATGCCTTTGACCGAAGGCCAAGGGCACCAAGGCAGCTGAGGCTGTATCTGTTGCTGAGTGTTGAAGGGTCTCAGGGTTCAGGCAGAAACCCTTCCTCCCAGCCCTTGTCCCCCAGACACTGTGCACTCATGGCCTGGGTCTGATCTTAGTTGTCTTGGAAAGCCTGCTAGATGGAGAGGTGCTTCCATTAACTTAGAAAATACGTAGCAAGGTCTGAGTGAGAGGGTTGGAGGGTTTAAAAGATTTATCTGAACAAAGATGAGGCAGGGCTGGATGAGAGCAGGTGAGCTTGGCACTGGGGGCAGATATGTTTTCCTGCAGGTTGCGGATGTGGGCTCCCATGAAGGGTAGGTTTCTGAGATGGGGTTTTCCCCTAGAAAGCAGGCTTCACACATGTCCCTGATGGGCCCGGCAGGCAAAGCTGATAGAATTGTTGCTCCACACTTGGACACAACAAGGGAAGGTGTTATCTCCAGACCAGTGTGCCACCAGGGTGCGGCGCCTTCATACGTCCTCAGGCCAGCCTGCAATCCAGGCCCAGCTGAACCACATAGATCTTAGTGATCTTTAGGAAATCACTTCTCTAAGCTTCGATTTCTTCATCTACAAATTGAGGCTATAATAATATCTATCTTGGGCTGTTGCGAGGATTAGAAATATTGTACGTAAAACTACTAGTATATAGGAGGTGCTTAATAACACAGTAGCTATCATTTTTATTCCTGCTACCACACTGGACTAGGCTGGCCTAAGACATGGCTCAGTTCAACTCTCTTGGAGGGATTTGTTACTGGTTGAACCAAGACATGGAATCTAAGACTTTACCCATCATCCTTTCACACACATTTTGTCAAAGGTGGCTTGGCAGGTACATACATAAAAACCTGTTCTCAGTTTCCACTGCACATAATTCTGTCCTCTGCTAGTCATTTCAGTACACAAAAGCATGCCACAAATCTTTGGGCTGGTGGTGATATCTAGGAGACACATTGAGAAAGCAAGGGCAGGGGTTAAAATAAAGTTGAGAAATGATGAAGTAAAAAAAAAAAAACCATCCCCTCCTCTGTCCCTCTAGTTTGCCAACAGCCTACCACTCTTACCCCCCACTCTAGTGTCTTGTTTTAGAACTGTTCAAAGTGCTTTTGCACATTTGATTTCATTCGCTCCTCGCTCTGGCCTGTGAGGCAAGTAGGGTAGATATTGGCTGTGTCTCAGAGAAGCTAGGATAGTGACACAACTGGATCTAGAACCCATATCTCCTTGTGATGGAACGTGAGTGAACCATGTGGGCCCCCTTTGAGTTGCACTTGGATGAGTGAGTTAAAGGGCATCTGTGAGGAAACGATGTGCAGGTGCTGGGGACAGCTGTTTTGCAAGGAGGTGGTGGTAATAATGCCCTTTTGTGTAGGGTGCCCAACAGAAATGGGTGACAATGTGCCTGTCGTGTTGATAAGCAAACTTGAGGCCCGGAGTAAGCAGAGGCCTTTCTAGGATTTGGATGACATGGGGGAGGTGGTTTTAGTTTCAAAATTTTCCCCGTCCTTAAATCATAGAAGACTTTGTCTGAGGTCACCCAGCTTGGGAGAAGCGGAGCCCCTGAGAATTGAGACTTTAACTCAGGACTCCAACTTCTTGGGTTTGAAATCAGCTCATTCTACCCCCTGCCCTGTCTTTCTCACAGGGGTGTTGAGAGGAACAAGAGTGGAAAGGACAAATCAGTGGATAACGGCATTAAAAGAAATAGTGCCGAGCACTCACCTTCTCTGAACCTAATCTGCCTCATGCAAGAGTCACAGAGGGCAAATGCTTCGGCTAAACTGACATGTTTGCACACTCTACTTCTTAGCTGTGTGACTGAGGTAAGTCCCTCACTTCATCTCTCGTTGCCAGTTTCCTCCTCTGGAAAATGAAGATATAGTATCTTGTCTGATAGGTTGTGAGAATAAAATAAGCATTTTGCAAACTATGAAACTCTCAAACTACTATCTTTGAGAGCTTTAAGGAGTCCTCACTTACGGGAGTCCACTAAACCCAGCTCACTCTAGGACCCTGAAAGGCCCAGCTCTGGTGGGAGTAGAGAAGGTGGCGCTTTTTTGGTTTCTCCCCAGCTAGGCAGACAGAACTGGGGAGGAAAATGGAGGAAGCCAGGCTTGCTCACCGCCTCCCACTTCTTATCCCCCAGCTGAGGGGGCAGCGGCGGGGGAGCTAGCATAACCTTTTCTTCAGTGAGTCAGCTAAGAAGAAATTTCTAGAGCTCCAATGATGTACAAGTGGTGGTTTTAGTTTGGATTTTTAAAGCCGTTCCCTCTTTTAAGCAGCTTTAAGACACATAACTAAAAGCACAAGCAATTGGGAAGCACATAGTTTGCTTACTAGTGTGAACTTGAGTCGATTGAGTTTTGCAGGGTCATTGTATTAATAATAGTATGGGGAATGGCCTGCACATGCTAGGGGCTGATACCTGCCCATTTCCTTTCCCTTCTTTGTGGACAGAGTGCAGTCATTGAGCCAACAGCAAGCACTTATTATTCAGTTGCTTGAGTTTATTACAATGGCTGCCATTATTCATTAAATTCTCACAACCACAGGAGACAGCTTATCTACATACACTGAGAAAAAGGCAGTTCAGAGAATTTTTACTGCCCAAGGTCATACCACTTGCAATTTTTAAAGCCAGGGTTCAAACCCACCTTGTTTGGTTTGCCTCTCAAACATAGAATGTGTGAGGGGGCTTAACTGAGTTGGATCTTCTCTAAGGCCCAATGTTTTTTTTTTTTTTTTTGAGAGAGTCTCACTCTGTTGCCCCAGCTAGAGTGCCGTGGCGTCAGCCTAGTTCACAGCAACCTCAATCTCCTGGGCTCAAGCGATCCTCCTGTCTCAGCCTCCCGAGTAGCTGGGACTACAGGCATGTGCCACCATACCCAGCTAATTTTTTCTATGTATTTTTATTTGGCCAATTTTCTTTCTATTTTTAGTAGAGATGGGGTCCAGAGTGCTAGGATTACAGGCGTGAGCCACCGTGCCCTGCCTGGAAGGCCCAATCTTAAGTGGAGTTGGACCAAGGAGGTAACCCCAACCTGCCCATTTGGGGAATGGACTCAGGGTGGGTTTCAAGGGCAGGAAATAGGCCATTGCTAGAGGCAGCCTGACAATTGGAAGAGCGCTGAAGATGTTGTTTGCTTTCCAAGTCCCTGGGGAATTTAAGCTGTGTACTACCAGTTTCAGGAGCTTATGTTGTGAGGGTGAGATGACTCCTTTATTAAGCAGTATACAAATAGATTATTGGGAATCTTCTGTCATCTCCCATGAAACACAACCTCCTCCTCATCACCTGACAGCCCTCCGCTTACCACCCTATAAACAAGAGGGAACTAAGTCTCCTTTCCAAACCCCTCTCCTAAGCTAGACTGCAGAAGCCAGAAAAGGAGGGCTGAGTCATCTTCCTCTTCAAAGAAAACCTGTGTACCAAAGCCACAGAAAAGCATGTTTTCTATGCAAATCATTTGTTTCAACACATGGCTGCTTTTATAGCCCAAGAACTGAGAGGACATTGTCTTCTCTCTATTCCCAGAAGTAGGTACCTTGCAGTGTCATCTGTGCTGTCCCTGTTCTCCACATCCAGGTATCTGCATGATTGCAGTTACCTCTTGCTAAGCAGCCAAACGACCACCATAGCACATTTACCCAGGCCATCAGGTCAGATTGTGCCAGTTATGGCACAGCATAGGCCAGGAGGGACAAAGTGGTCTATAGAAGTTAATTTAAGAGCGAGGCTACAGCCTGAGGCTGCTCTTCACCCTAAAGATTCTGGCAAATGTTTCCATGAGAGTAAAGACCCTGGCTTCACACACAATGACTCTTGCAGCACTTTCTCTGTATCTCTCATTCTCTGGGCCAAGGCAAAGACGACTAGGTAGATAGGATTGGGAAACAAACTTTAACCATTTATCCATTCTCCTACAGCTATAATTCCTGAAAATAGTGCTGTGTGGCAAAGTCTTGGCTTTCGTGCCCTCTCCTTCTAGAGTGCTGGGTTATTTCACAGTACAGGGTGTTGCTCATACAGCTTTGCGCCATATACCCAGGAGGCAGACAGTCTGGGCACCTCTGATGTGGGGCAATTCACTGCCCAGATCACGGGAAGATGACTGGGATTTCTCCATAAGCCCAGAAACCCACAGCTCAATGCCTTTGCTCCCCTCTCAAAAAAAAGCAACTGATGTCCACATTTTTGCACGGGCTCACGTAGTATTAGGGACTTTTTATTATTTTTTTAAGGAGAATTAATACAGCCATTGATTATATAGAGCCATTTCTGAGTGTTCTTTGTACTTAAGAAATTGGAATACACCATGATGAGGATGATAATGCCAAAACAAGATTGCTGGCTCATCATCTAGGGTACAAATACACACAATCGTTTGAGACTTTACCGAATGCAAAGCAAGATTCAGCATCTTTGCTTTCGTTGTAGACAGCGGAAGCAGGTGCCCAGGGAGGGGAAGACAGCACAGTTTTCCTTGGTGGGGAAGGTGTGCACCTGTAGTCCTGTTGTGTTGTGGAAAGATTAGCCCATGTTCTGTCGGTTGCCGTAGCCCCTAGGATGGGTGTCCTTCCACTCATCCCATTCCCGAGCTCTATGGAGTGTTTGCTCATCATTTTCTTCCTCCTTTTGTTCTTGATCTTCCTGTTGCTGGGCTGCCCTTTTGAACTCCACTAAAATAGAAAAATGAGAAAGGGGGTGTGTGAGAAATTGAGGGAGTATTAATAAGCTACGCTAGGAGCCTCAGCTCCACTCTGAACACAACCACTTGCAATGAGGACATGAAGAGAGCCAGCTGCCTACCCAGGGCCAATGGAAGTGCGGAGAGTACTTGTTACTTATAATATCACCTGTTAAATAATAGTAAGAAAGGATGCTCTGAGTGGTTTCTACAACAAGGCAAAAACATAAAAGGTGCCCCTCAGAATGAATTCTATCTTGGAAAAGGATTCTAAAAGGCCAACACTCCTCCACCAGCAAAACAAAACCACCACCACCACCACCACCAAAACCCCTAGCAATCCATACACACTAGAGTAAAAAAAAACTGATTTTATGATTTGTAAATTGCCAGGCAGGTAGGATTGCAGGTGACTTTTCCTCCTCTATCCATTTCCTTTATTATAATTATACGTATATTTGTGTGTGTGACACCGAAAATCAGAGGGCAGCTGGACTTACTAGACAAGGATGCCTATGTGTTATTTTGTGCACGTGCTTGAAACAGGCACTTATTGTGCAGTGTACACCCAAAAAAAAAATTAAACTGTTCCATCTCTCTTTTGCATTATTTTCCCCCTTTATGAGGTAAAGCAGCATTTTCCTAGCCACCTTGAGTTTGCCCATGAGAAATACTCTTTCTGTTTTATTTCAGAGTATTATGGCGATACAAACACTTTGGGCCTTTGCACCACCCAAGTCAGAGCTACAAGTATGCCGAACCCCCAGACATCGTGCACCGTACTCATTAGGTATGAATTTATCCATCCAAGAATTATTCTTATTATAATGATAAAGAATGAAATATGTAGGGATCTGATCTCTGATCTCTTCTAACAGCTTAGGAGTCTGGTGTTCATTTCTTTTATTAACCCTTTTATTGTCAAATAAAAGACAGGAAACCACACAAATTTATATACATGATATACATATACATGATATATATATATGCATATATACACACACACACACTCCATAGTTGTCCATTTATACATTTTTCACTCAATTATATTTTTTAGTACTGACTTGTATAACCATTACCACAATCCAATTAAAAAATTCTATCACCCCTAAATGATCCCTTGTGGTGCTTACTGTGAATTCCTCTTCCTTCAAGCCCCTAGAACCACTAATCTGCTTTCTGTTTCTATAGATCTGCCTATTCTGGACATCTCGTATAAATGGAATCAATGTAATACATGCATATATTTTTTTAACAGACTGCAGCACCCGGTATTCCTGGGTAGTCTTCCATCTAAGTACTAACCAGGCTTGACCCTGCTTAGTTTCTGAGATCAGATGCCTTCAGGGTGGTAGGCCTGTACACTCAATACCTGGTCTTTTGTGTCTGACTTCTTTCACACAGCATGCTTTTAAGGTTAGCCTTGCCTATTTAAAAATACTTTGATATATTTTTAAATCTACAAGTTCCTCCTCCACCCCTTTCTTTCCTGAGTTATTTATTGAAGAAGCTGGGGCATTTGACCTGTAGCATTTCCCAAAGCCTGGATTTTGCTGATTAGCATAATGAAGATGCAGTCCAACATGTTCTGTATTTCCTACAGATTGGCATCGGGATACAGAGGCTTGATCTGACTCAGGTTTGATCCCTTCCACATGATTATAGGTGTTGCTGTGTTCCTTCATCAGGAGGCATGTGTCTCATTTGTTGTGATGTTAGCAGCTGTTGATGCATAATTGCAGGACCCATTAATTTGGGGGGGGGTTCAAAAAGGCGACAGTCCTTACATCTCTTTTCAAGGGTACATGCCAGCAACCTGACTTCTCACTAATAACCCCGATCACCTGACCAAGGTAGCGTTTGTAGGGTTTCCAACTGTGAAGTTACTCTTCTCCATCCTTCCACACTGCAGTCTTCAGAAGCAGGTCACTAAGCACAACCCGTACTTACCGGGTGAGGAGTTATGCTCCACCTCCCTGAAGCGGAAGTATCTACATAAATTATTTGAAATTTTTTTGTAGGGGACATTTGTCTCTCTTCCCTCATTTATTTATTCAATCATTTATTTCTATAGCAATGGACTCATGGGTATTTACTTTATTCTTTGTTATAATCCAATACTGTTATTTATTTTCCTGCTCAAATTCTTCTAGTTTTGGCCAATGAGAGTTTTCAGCTGGCTCTTACGTCCCTTTAACACCTGAATTGTTTAATTTTTTGAGCTCTTCTTCATTTTCTAGGAAATATGATCCCAACTTGTGATTTTTTCAACTTTATGACGGTGTGAAAGTGATATGCATTCAGTAAAAATAGTACTTCAAATTCAGACATTCGACACTTTATTATAAACTAGGCTTTGTGTTAGATGATCTGTAGGCATTAGCCTACAGATGCCCAACTGCAGGCTAATGTTAAGTGTTTTGAGCATGTTTATGGTAGGCTAGGCCAAGCTATGATGTTGCGTAGGAGTATTAAATGCAATTTTGACTTACAGTATTTTCAATTTACGATGGGTTTATCAGGACGTAACCCCATTTTAAGTCGAGGAGTGCCTGTACTACAGGATGCTCCAGGCTGATCTTGTACATTTCCTGCCCCAACCCTAGAATCAGCCCTTTCTCCAAGTAGCCCTGGTTCCTTTTGGAGAATAGTATTAGAAACTAAGCTTTAGGCACTGGATGTACTTGTTGTTACTATCAATTATCCTTTCTGGAGGCAAATTGGCCAGTAGAAACATCTTCAAATTGGCTCCTGAGTCCTTTTGATATGACCCCAGTAGTCTTTGAAAGCGTCTTTCCTATCTTTTATGACAAGTTGTTCTAAGCTCATCTTCCACATTTCCTGCCCCAGACTTGGAATTAGCTATTTCTATAAGACATCCTGATTTCTTTTAATGGGAATGGTTATTTCAATACCATAACTGGGGTCACTAGGTATACTCATTGCTACTGGGCTGGTCCTTGTTTCTAAGGCTTTTCAGTGGATAAAGTAGAGGGGTGTGTGTGTGTTTACTTTTTTAGAACATTTCAAAATATTAAGGGGGTACAAATGTTTTGAGTATATGGATAGCTTTCATAATGCTTAAGTCAGGGCTATTAGTGTCCCCATTACCTGAATATTGTCCATTGTACCTGACAGGTAGGTTTTTACTCCTCCGCTCTTTCCCCCTCCCCCCTTCTTGATTTCCAATGACCTTTACTTCTCTTTGTGCCCATCGATTAGTTCTGAAATATTAGAGAGTACATGTGGTGTTTGTTTTTCCATTCCTGAGATACTTCACTTAAGATAATGGTCTCCAGTCTGATCCAAACTGCTTCAAAAGACATTAATTTATTCCTTTTTATGGTTGAGTAGTACTCCTTGTGTATGTGTACACACACACACACACACACACACCCCACATTTTGTTAATCCACTCATAAATTGATGGGCACTTAGGTTGATTCCACATCTTTGTGATTGTAAATAGTGCTGCAATAAACATTCAAGTGCAGGTGTCTTTTTGATAAAATGACTTCTTTTCCTTTGGGTATTTCTCATGAGTACATGAGTACATATTCAGGACTACACAGTTTTTCTTTTAAAAAAATCCTAAATTCTTTTGATTTACATCTGTATTTTTCCATACTGAAAGTCCTAGTTCTCAAAGAGGATAGAGTATCTCATAATTCCTCATTTATATTGTATAAATTATACAGTCTTAGAATAACAACACTAACATTGCCACCAATATAACTGCTGAGAACTGTTAAGTATTTTTGCATATGCTTTCCCTATTTTTCCATTTTTAAAAACAGTCATACTACATTACATCTACATTATCCGAGCACATAGGCATTACATACTCTACTTTCTCCTCTTTCACTCTCATTTAGTCTTAACTCTACAAGTAGCTGTACATTTAACACTCACTACCAGTCGTTAGTTATGTCAATGCCTCTCTCGTCATTTCGATTGTCTGAAGCTCATTCTCTAGCAAATATCTCGGGAAGGGATCATGGGAACAATTATTTCTCGAATTCCTGCATGTTGATAAATGCCAATACCCTTTATACTTTAAAGTCAGTTTTGCCAGATATGATGTTCTCGGCTCACATTTTTTCCCTTTGAGCATCTTAAATGTCTGCTACTCCATTTTCTTCTGGCATAAAGTGTTGAAACATTTGAGAATAATCTAAGTTCTTTCCTTTATAAATCACCTGCTATTTTTGGAGAAATGTCCATGGCATTTTTTAAAGGTTTAGTAATTGTATCAGAATGTATCTTGTCGGTCATTCTGGGTCAAAATTCTCAGGTACACGGTGTGATTTTTCTTATCGAGTGACCGTCGTGTCCCAGCCCACAGAGGGCCCTGCCCTTTGGGACCAGGCACTCAGGCTGGGTGGAAAAGCTGTGCCTAAGTCAAGTGAGCAGCCACACCACCTTGGCACCTGAACCAATCTAGTGCCTCAACCCAAAAGAACCGGAGTGCCTTGGCCCAGGGGAGCAACTATGACCCTGGTGCCCCAGCCCACGTAGTTCATGGCTCCTGGCCCCTCAGGGAAACACAACCTTGGCTAATCTGTACACCCTGCCCTCTGTGCCGAACAGCTGCAATGTCTCACTTTCCTGGATCTGGACCAGTTCTCCAGGGTCTGAGCAGCTGAGGTGCCCCACTGCCCTGGGGAGTGAAGCCAACACTGCACTGCTCTCCACCCCCTAGAGCCCATGCCGCAGCTGTGCCCCACCATCCCAGGCTCTTTGTGCCACTGCACCTGGCCTCACAGGGCCTGGGCCACTGCTGTGACCACTCCAGTGTCCAGTCACTACTACACAGTCTCTCTCCTGGTGCCCGAATTGCCACTGTGCCCTGTTAGCTCCAGAACTCCCCTTCTTCCCAGAGCTGTGCCAGTACTGTGCCTTGACCCCCAGCATGAGAATCACAGCTACATCCCTGCTCCCAGGCCTGAGCTACTGGGAAGTACCTCAGAGTCCTAGGTCTTGGTTTGGTGG